TTTTCTATGATTGTGTGAAAGATTATAACACTGTGCCAAGCCTGAATTTTCTACAAGGAATGTGACCTCATGATATCAAAATATATTCAAATATTGATGCTATAATTACACAAGAAATTTCTATGAATAAAAAGAGACCATACCTCTAAGCAGCAAGGAGCCTGGTTTCAATTGGTGATCTTGTCTTCGAGAATGGAGAAAGTGGGGAGTTGTTGGCCCAATACCTTCGAACTGCTTCCCGTACCTCTGCAGGAGTTATGGGATCCATCCCTATACTGTGGTCTTCACCAGATCCTACCTCCTGCAGTGAGCCACTCTTTTGGAGTAGGGATAAGCATTAACATTGGAAGGTAGATTATGCACCATGTGCAATTTTTCTTGGTAGGGTGTATAATTTAACTGGGAATTTGCCGAAAACAAAATATAAACTACAAACTTCTCCATCGTGACTAGATAAAGGACAATATATATTTATATTAATAAAATACTTAAATAAACCAAAATTAGCAGACCAAGAGGTACTTAAGTGTACAGTTCTAAACCCAATGTGTGCAGGCTTTTTCGGCAGCCGTGTGGTCCACCAAATGAGTGTATCTGCGGCATCAGCACTACGCCCCCATGGTAGATGCCACCCACGAACAAGGGGTTGAGTGATTATATAAATGTATATGTAGTCACAAATTTACCACAAACTGACCACTTTCAGTAATCACTTAAATCTTCCTTAAAAATTTTGTTTTAAGAGAACATACAAACACCCTTACAATAGTCTTTTCTAAACAAAACAAAAAATTGGCATAAAAAGTAAACATGGTACTGCCCACTTCTAAAACTTAACTAAAATAAAAAAGAATACACCATATTCCCATTTTATGATGCATAATTCCTCCACATTTTCAAGCACATACCATATGAATTATTGTAATGTCTATGAGCTGTAATTACAACATAACCAAATATAAGTGTGAATATCACTATACCTGATGAATAAATACACATGGATAGTCAGGGTTGAGAACGGTTGGTGTGCGGAAGCGAGACAGGTCAGAATTACGTCCCATAGCATCTCTTTTCACTAGAAGAGCAAGATCTACAATCTGAGCAACTGTTTCATATGCCAAGCGATTAAGCATCTCCAACACAAGCTGGAAAGAGATATGAGATCGTTAACCACATTTCATTCTTAATTGAAATATAATCCATATCACTTTAGTCTGAACCATTTCTGGGCATACAAGTGAAAAAGAAATTAATAGATCTGAAGAAACAATTCATGGTAAATGTCCCAACTAGTAAATTCAGAATGAAACAATATATATAAAGGACCAATCTCATTGCTTACCTGTGAGAGTTTCACTTCACTATTATCATCACGGAGGAGCCATTCTCGGAATTTGTTGACTCTCAGCCTTGGACAAAATGAAGCTCTTCTAGCCTCACAGTACTCTTTGTACCTCTGATTAGACATACCCTTGATAATAAATAAATACATTTTTAATAATACTGGTAATTTGTTCAGTGGGTTGCGAACAATAGTGGGATAAATCTGTGTAAAAGTATTATTATCAATAATTACAAAGGATCTTTAAAAATCATATTTTCCATGAACATCTATTCTTTTTCAAAAGCATTTTCATTAAGCATCTCAAAATAATTTTGTATATAAGGCATTAGCTTAAGCATGCACCAACTGCCAAGAAAAAGAAGAGAAAGCCAATTCCTTACTACACTAAATGCTGTAACTTTAGACCCCAAACACACTCAACCTCTTCATGGATTTTATTTTATCATCATTATTTATGTTAAAAGCTTGAAACTCACAGCTTACCTGTGTCATAACATTCAATCGATGGGCCCTTTCATTCTTGACTGGATCAAATATGGATGCAAAATAGAGAGGTTCATACTGTCCAGTCTGGTCAATACTTTGGAGGAAATTGGTGCATATTTTTTTTCGGGAAATTTCTCCACCACCCTCTGCGGTTAATTCTTGTATCTCACTTGCAGATGAACCTGAAGTGCTGGTTCGTGCACGTTGGTAAAGATCGCGAACTCCTGCAAATTCCACATACCCCTTTTTACACTAAAATGAAAATATATATACATATAAGCATACACACCTGCATACTCAAACATACTCCCTCTCCAATTTATCACCATTTTCCCATAAAACACTATGCTCTATGAATGTACCAACTACAGACTGGGCCTCAAAGTTTGCATTCAACTTAGCAAGATGAAGTATCACTTTTTGATTTTCAAATACTGTACATTAGTTGATATATCTATGAAATTTTTAGTTTGTTTCTACTTTCTTTCTATATCTATTTTTGAAAGCATTGCATATAGTGTCCTTAAAAATAAAACAATTATCTAGACCTGAACTTTGCCATTATTATACTTACCCATATAGTGCACTATTCGTTGCAATTTGACAGGATCTTTGCGCATAATAAATAATATGTCCTCTGGACCCACAACTTTGCTTCCTCTTTGTTCTGAAATATCTGTTGCCTGCAAGTAAAAATATTATTTTTCTATATGTATTCTTGGGACACTGAACTAAAACCTCAGTCCTTATTTTGCAATATAGATTTTTACTTCTATATGAAAAAATCCATTTTAATTTTATGAACACATATAAACAATCTTCAACCACTCACAAGGTGCAAGAAAAGAGTCATCTGTTGGTGTACAACTGACTCAATAACTGCAGCTGTCTCAAGTAACGGGCGACGGCAGTCCCCAAACCCGTGCATCATCAGCTGAATGT